GTAGGGGGTAGGGGGTAGGGGGTAGGGGGTAGGAGCAAGGGGTAGTAGGAGGAGGAGAGGAGAAGGAGGACTAGGCGTAGGCGTAGGGGCAGGCGTAGGCGTAGGCGTAGGCGTAGGGGCAGGAGTCGGAGCAGGAAGGTAGCCGGGGGGGATTAGGACTCGGGTATTGGGATTAGGGCCACGGGACACGGAGCAGCGAAGTTTGACGTTGATATAAGGTTTCCCCCCCCCCAACCATGGTTCTCAACCCCAGAATTTAGCGTTAAAATGTGGTGGCGTTCCAAGCAACACTTCAGCGGCCAGGAGATTGGATGTCCATGGAAGCACGTGTCCATGTGTGCGGGGTGATTCATCAATTACCGCAACCAATGACGCCAGGTTGCCCCAGACATTCATTTGACCCGGGTTAACTGGCACTTTTGGGTTACAGTTTGAGGAAGGAAAAGTTGGAAACGTTAATAAGTCTGTGACAGCGCATATTTACGAATGCATCAATGCATCTTATCCAACCCCGTTTAGGGGTTAGAGTTAGAGCTAGCTAGGAGAAACACTTTCCATAGGAAGTATGTAGAGATGTGTGAGAGATGTGTGTGATCTATGGCATCATGTCTGTAGTTTTAGTCTGGGGTGCCATGGTTTGCAGCATAAGGCTACGTCGAGGGTTTATCCGGCTGAGCAGTCTCCTATGCGGAGGATTTCTCTTTTAATGGGGAGTGAATATAATCTCAGAGCCAAGTGGATCTCTCCCACTGCTGGTGTTCTCTTTGCCGGTAGTGCTTCGTGCACACACAAAACTCCAGAGTCAAAATACCTTCGGCTGAAAAAGTCCTCTACATGCCTCAGCTCTGATATCTTACTCGTGGGACAACGAAATGGAGTATAAGTTTTCTCTTTGGTTTTTTTTTTTTTTTTTTTTTTTTTTTGACTGCGCCTCCCAACCACACTCCCTCGCACACATTCAATGTTCACTTTGGTGAAGGTTTCGCAGTTCTCCAGGCTCTAATCACCGAATTCTTTTCTAAAGTGCCAATCACTGTTAGAAGTAAGATACTGATTTGTCATGGAGGATAGTTAACGTTTTGTTTGTTGCTGTGGGTTGTGTTTGAACCGGATAGCGCAGAGATCTAAAGTCTAACGAAATGTGGGGAAACACGTGATGAAAATCAACGTAGTAACTATCCGCTCACGCCCCACATGGTTGTGGCGCTTACCAAGCCATGCCAATTGCGCCTTGGGCCTTGCAAGTGCTTGATTTTTCTCAATCGCGAAAAAGCATGTGTACAAAGCAAAAAAGTATCAACTAAATATCTGTCACTTTCTGTATTCTCCATTGCTCAACAACCAATTAATTTCTGCCGGTTCCATCTTCTCCATTGGAATCAATAAATGCAGGCTCCATGAATCTGCCTGATTATTCATCATGAAGTCGATGCGCACTTAGTTCATGGAGAATCTGATGGTTATGAATGTTTTCTTCGTAACATCAATAAAATTGCTCTTGTTACTTTTTTTTGAAATTTCATCATATCATTTATGGTCTGCATCATATAGCGTGTTATTCAACCACATGACTATTATCATTATCATTCCTCATTGAGTGATAATGACAAACAAGTAAGTGTCTTGTATAAAGTTGTGTACAATAGTTAAACCAACATGAGTTGATTACATAAAAGTAACCTAGTGTTGAAAGCATATTCATCAAACAAGAAGTCTATATCCTAAACCTTATAAGAAGGTTCTTATGAGTGATTAATTCCAGCCCAGGAAATGATGGCAATTTATGTGGGGAAGGCCCCTGGCTAGTAGTGTCCAGATGGTTATGCCGATCAAGTTCGATCGGATGTGGGTCGGATGACGTAGCCGATTTTTAAATGTCTCATCAAATATAAAATACTCTGTGCGTAAGATTTGAGCCCACGACTCGTAGTTTTCCACGCGAAGTGCCACGTAGCGGCTGCAGCCATCGGAGAAACTTCTCTAACATTCTTTCTCAGTATTGACATGAGCACATATATGAAATATTTTTGCCTTTTTTAAAATTTATTAAAACGTACTTCAATAACTCGTAGTTAATTGTAATGAGCTAATACTCAAGTTGATAACCTTTCTATCAAATGTGCAGAGTGTAGAATTTTACTAATTTAGTAATTTTTATTATTTTTTCTCTTCTGTCATTTTCTGCAGATTTTTTGCAGTTATTAATAATTAACAAATCATCTCTTTTCTCACT